ATTTCTTTTTTTTTTCTTACCTAGTGGAAAGCATCGTGTAAAAGCTTATGGTCGTGCACATCTATTTTTTAATCATCAAGGTAATTATTTAAAACATGTTAAAAATTTATCAAAATTTATTGATTATACATCAATAACATGTCATTTTTCGATGCCAATACAATTACCTGATGCCATCTATGTTAATGTTATTATATTTAATCGTGATAATAATAATTCAATAACAACAACATCAAATAAAAATATATCTCTTCAAGATATTCTTCAACTTATTGAATATAATAAAAAATTTCATGATGAACCTATGTTACCAATAGATTCATCAAGAATTTCATCTCCTACTACAATGAATAATATGATACATAAGGATTTAGTTATGATTAATACAACATTAGATAATAATAATGATGATGATGATGAACTATTAAATAATAATATTACTGTACTTGACGAAAAACTTTTGTAATCATCTTATTACAACAATGACCCAGTCTTTTTTTTTCTGTTTCCTTGTAACAGTGATGAATTTGATCCCTCTTTTTTTCATATCCTTTTTATTGTAATATATCTTATGCATGAAAACAATTATATCATGAAATATTTAAGATATAAATATAGTTCAAAAATTAAAAAAATACTGATGAAAAGTTAAATATTTATTTCTTTAAATAATATTTATGAAATCATGACAGACAAAAAAAAAACTGAAAAGAAAAGAAAGAATTTTTAAAAACTATTTATCGATGTGATATGAAATTTAAACATAAATACGACGCCAATGATAAAGAATAAGATAGAATATTACTGTAATAATTATATCAACACATGTTGCAACAACATACCATGCAATAAATGTATTTAATGTTATACGATTTGTTGTTTTATCTATACAAGATGTCCATGCCCAACCCATACAACAAGTTGCTTCACCATCTGTCATATGAATAGTAGTTACTGGTGTACTTCCTGAATAGTCAGTATTTCTAGATTGAAGTATTTTGTATATGAAATAAACTGTTTGAGTAATAAAACAAATTCCAAATACAATCGGACAAATTATCCAAGCGAGTAGAACAGCCATATTGATGTTGACCTATGGAGCAATGAAATAGAGCTCTCACATATATTTAATATAGTATACACCTGAGAGAGATAACAGATATAGAACATCAATGTAACGACAAAAAAAAATATAATGACGCCATTTTGTCTCTTACCAAATTTCATTCATAGATATACAAAATCAACAACATAAAAACAAATGTAAAACAACGAGACTTCAATCTACAGCTCTATAGTACCGTATGAAAAAAAGCTTACTTAAGAAAAAGACTTAAGCGAATGGCAAAAATCGATAAAAAGAAGAAAGTTTTTACTATTATCAAAACCATACTGATTATAGGATCTACATGAACTTAAAAAAATCGCACATACAATTAGTCTAAAATGTGTCTGAACATTTGTTAGTTCTTTCTCTGTATTCTGTATTTTGTGTAATAAGAGTGCAAATATTAAATTTTCTCCTTAGATAAACAACAAACACACACTGAGTCACGTGTGATATAAATATTTTTAGATTTTTGAATTTATTGCATTTTCTTTTGTCGTTCAAAGTTTTACTCCAACTGCAAATAACCATCAGACGTTATTGATAATATATGAGCACAGAATAGTATATCATCTGATCCCAAGTTGCCGAATCCGTAATTATTCCCGAGCACATGCAAGATCCGCAACTATTTTCAAATCAACTAAATCACTGAAAAACACGAATAATTCAGAAACCGAAAACTGAGTCAAATTTAAGTAACATCAAAATTATCATTGACAACAAACCCTTTAGCTGCATCAATCTTTCGATTCTCTCTGCATCATTGTATTCATCTCTCAACAATGTTGAAGTGCAGACAACAATGATAAGCTTGGAAGCTGTTAGATATGAAAATTCTACATCATATCCACCTATTATTACTACCGATATTCCAGCTTTTACGTGACATGCATCACTAGGTATTTAATACTCATCCAACATTACTTCGAATTAATGATACATCGTGGCATTTGAACAATAAAAATTAATTGTTACTGTTTGTTCCAACCTAGAGAGATGTATTTTCACTATTACATATGAATACATATTCATTCACCCTAGTCACATCTTCCATACAAGTTACGTCCTCACATCGTTTACCAACCCAATTTCTGCTTCTTCTTTTTAAAGTATCTTTTAGAAAAAATTCAACAAAACTTTCGTTCAGCTTAATATTTACATTGTATTCGCACATCATCAAATACAAACAGCTTCACTCTTGTCCATATAGATGTCGAAATCGTTCAAGAATGTGATCAATACTTACTTTAGAATAAGCAAAAACTCATGCTGCAGCCATTTATATTGAAAAAGTGAATTTTGCGACATAGGCAGAACGTTTGGATTTAGTGCTTGAGTCACTTGGACTTTTTTTTGTAAAAATGACTTTTCTTTTATTCTAATGCAAAACAAAAATGATCAGAAAAATCAGCTTTAAATCGTTTTATTTCTAATTAAAAATTGATTAAAATACAGAGATTTTGATCAGATATCTTCTTATGATATACTGCTTAATTAACTATTTAATTTTTAATTGACCTTAATTGCTGTGACTCTAAAACACGTTTTTCTTCATTATTTACTTGAAAACTCCATTTCTTTTGATGATTTTTAATAATTTCACATGTCGACAAGCATTAATGCAGCACTAAGTCATATCTTTGTCTTTTTAATGTACCACTGAATGTATTCAATTCAATAGAAAATGAATATTTGCTGCTTATAGAATATACACATACGTTACCGTATAGAGCTTGTCTCTCGATGATAGATAATGAGATAATAATTTTTTTAGTTCAGTTCGGTTCAGCACTAGTTAATTTTTTTCAGTTTCCGTTTGGTCCTGATCGGTTTAAAACTCAGTCAATTCTAATCTATCCCATATCTAATCCAAATCCATACCTAAGGTCTTAAAACATATTTCATTCGATGTGGACACAGTTTAAGGAAAACAAGCGAAATAAGGAAAAATATGGATACGATTGTAGAGGCACATGACATCGTCTGATAGTACATAGACTTAACACAAAAAACTAGAGACTAATAGAGAACAAATGTTCGCAAAATAGAAGTTTTTATTATGAATTGTACTTTTAGTGTAATTTTTTTCAAATTTGAGACTGGTGGTATTAAATTTGTAAACTCTACTTTTTGATATTTTACTGATATCTGCATGGAAATTACTATAATTTCTATGTTAAACATTCTATGAAAGTGAATACAGAGTACGATTGGTGTTCAGAAGAATGATTTTCATCATTCAAATCGTTGCACCAGCTGATTCGTTTCAATGTGCAAGATAGCCTTTTATTAATCAATGCGAGTAGCCATATGAGATAAAACAACTCATCTAATTTTAAAGATGAATCAACATCAATGGCTTTGCTGGACTTATCTATGACATTTTAACTTGAACCGAATTATGTTATTACACGGAACCATTTCAATAACTGTTTATTCCAGTGTCTCCATCAATTTAACTGATTGATCTGACAGTATATGTCAACTAAGTATGTGAATCAATTCGATTCAAACTCACTAAGCATGCATATCTATTCGACTATACATGCGAACTTTTTGAAATATTTTGTTTCAATTCAGTACTTTATTGTAAACTTGTGATATGTTTTGTCAATTAATTTAATATACTGAGATACATTCGAAGTTTTTCTTTTTAGTTAATAAGAGCTTTCTATGATATAATCTCATGTGATTCTACGATGGTGTCACATTGCTTCTTAACTCGCTGTTTCCCTTAAAGGATGCCTACAACTCAACCTGTCAAACGATTTTTCAATGTTATAATCATCATAAACGACAGTTTATATCGGTTATTATGCGAATCAACTCGAAAGCACCGACTGAACGAGTTTTAAGCACTCCTTATCCGTTCACTTTAGTGTTTGAAAGACGCTCACTTGCTCTTTAACAATCATTATAATGACAACAAAAGAATATATTCATCAAAAGAGAAAAATAATGCCAAGTCAGTGCCTTTTATTGTAGAATACCACAGAATAAAAAGAAACTGTTTCTGAAAAAGTATATTTTAGAATAGTAAACTGAAGCGAGTGATATTTTAGTTAAACTAATACCAAAGAATTCGGAATAGCCGATCGAGATTTATTTTTCATCGCATTGATTTCATCTGCAGGAAAAAGATTTCTCTACAAATCTACTTTTCTCAGATACACCAGGCGGAAAATGTCAGTAAATATATCAGTGAGTTTGTTGTCATTCAGATAACGATAGTAGAGTTCATAATAGAATTGGCTGATTTCTGGAAGTACGTAATCGATTTCATTGTACGAGAGAGGGTGTGGGTGTGGGTGTGATAAACAGGAAGACACACATTCACACTCACACTCGCACTCGCACCCCATACCCACCCACACCCAGGCCCTCCCATATTAGAAGCCCCCTACATTTCCAAGGCATTTTAAGAGGTAAAAACCTGTTGAAATCTTATTTATCAGTATCAAAATCCTGAAATCTCTTCGAAAACCTCCTGAATAACTCATAAAAACCTTAAAAACTCCTTAGGATTTTCCAAAAATTCTTGTCCTTGGCACCTTCGAAAAATTATGGGACCTAATAGAAGCCCCCTCTAAAACTTATGAACGCTCGCCATAATAGAAGCCCCCGGGGGCTTCTATTATTGGGGGATAGTCATCTTGAAACATGAGATGGCACCACAAGTTGATGACTTTGTTCACTTTTAGCTTCGTCATTTATAGTTGGTGAATAGTATAGACCACAAGAGTGAACAAATTGAATGAATAAAGGAGAGGAGACAATATTTATGGTTGATTTATTTCAGCGAAAATAAAGAAAGCAATGATTTTGTTTAATTGAAAGACACCACATTTCTTTTTACAGTTTTTTTTATAGGCAACAATTTAAATAAACAATGTCAACTGAACATATTCATCGTTTGTCAACCTCTTCTACTTCATCTATTTCTTCAATGTCAATTGATGATATTCATATTTTATCAACCTCCCCTGCTTCATCTACTTCTACATCATCAAATACAAATGTTTCATCATCTTCTTCGGTAAATTCGTTATCATATTCTAGTGAACGAATATGTTATTTATTAAAACATGAAAAACAACAATACGATATTGTTGATAATAAAGTATCATCAACAGTTGGCTCATATTGGTCTATTTTTGGATTTATATTTTCTTTTAACTCTTCGTCGTATCTTGGATCATATGTTCTTTTTGTTATTATGCTTAAATATCTTTCGATTATGTGAAGAAGTATTGATATTATCAGAAAATCTCGTAAATTCAAGTCTTTCTTGTATGAAAAATATTTAAGATGATTGTCTCTTTGTTTTTATTTGCTACTTTGTGCAAAAACTTGTTATTCCATTATCTTCATGAAAATAAATTAAATAAATAATTGAAATTGGAATCATGCATTAATACAGAGTTATAGAATTTAATGGAATTGAAAAATCAGAAACATCAATTGGCCTGCAGGTCAGGCCAGGCCGCAGGCCACTCTTTGATTTTTGGCCTGGCCTGTTGGCATCTCTGATTTCGACTTTGCTGTTGGAGTATTACATCGCAAAAGTACCGTTATCTTTGTATTCTTTATCATGAAGTCTAAAGAATTCATTGCTTCGATTTTATGAATTTCAATTCACTCTCAGTAAGTAGTTTGTTCAATAGAAACATACAATTAAGCAGTTTCAGCATACTATAGAGTGTCGTATTCATAGGCGGCGCGCCAGCAATGCAATGGTTAGCAATTGCAACCCCTAAAATAAATTATTAGAAGCAATAAAAACTTATTGCTTTCTTTAATATTTTACGCTTTTTGTATATCCTACGTTAAAAATTTTACTTAACATAAATATATTCGATGTGATTCTGTAGTTTATGTATGATGATGGTATCTTAGTCTCAGGAATTGTTTATTGCTATCTTGGTGTATGTGTTTTCCTGCTATATATAACAAGTACTCCATAATAAATGCTCTGCTTTTCTATTTCATATCTGAATCTTTAAATACTTTTTAGAAAAACAGAAAATAGCACTAGGTGCAGCGTGAAAAGCTCTACAATCAAATAAAGCAAAGCTTATTTTAATTGTGTGCTTGGTCTTTTCAAAAATAATGGCGTAACCAAGATTTTGGCAGTGATAGGGCACCGTATCGCTTAAATATCTGGTAATTAGGCGTAGGTGAACGATGTCTATGGAGTAGTTGGGCTCATAAAGAAATTTAGCTGACAAAACTAAGATGGGCAGTTGGACGGCGCCCAATCATGCCCTACTATAGTTATGCCACTATTCAAAAGAAACGAAATTCTGTGCAATCAATTTTCGACGCTACACAAATCGGTCTCACAGAATCTTGCTTCTTTTCAAAGCACAAAGTATACGATTAAAATAAACTTTATTTTACAGATTGTTGAGCTTTTCACGCCGCATCTTATGGTTTATTCGATAGTGTTTGAAGAGAACGCATTAGGTGATAAAACATAAAATAGAAGAAACAAGAATGCCCATTTTGCAATTGTAAAAATTGATGAAATAGAATTTTACTGTTTTCCAAAACAAAACGTTCACGATTAAAATAAGCTTTACTTTGAAAACTGTAGACATTTTCACGCTATATCTTATGGCATACCCGGTTTTAAAAGAAACATATTTAGAGATTAAAATATGAAATACAAAAACCGGCCATTTATTATGGACACCCGTTAGAATAATATTATGAAATTGAGACTGATGCTATCGTAACTGTGCAAACACTTGTTAGATCTAATAGTGTTCCAAGACCAAAATTAAAGAAGTAAGTCTACAAGGGCTGGCCCGAGGTAGACAAAATTGAGGGTTGTCGCAATTTTTTGGGGGATTGTCCCAGATTTTCCAATAAAAATAATTTTTTTAACAGATCGCAAAAAATTTCGACTTCGCTGAAAAAGAACAAAAATTTTCAATTATAGGAAGGTTGTCACAACACCCACAGTCCCCGGGTCGGGTCAACCCTGAAATCTATTCAATAAAAAGTGCATAAAATAATTAAAGTGAGCTTAATGCACTACCAGAGGAGTTAATGCTCAAGCTTTACATACGGCATATTCGAGAAGTTAAGTTCTCGCGAAAAAAAAATTTTCCATCGAACTGAATGGGGGGCGGGGCGATAGAACTCAGTTAACAGTTTATTGCTACCCCTATAAAACTGACCTTGCGCCGCCCATGGTCGTATTATAAGTATATTTTGAAATAAAATACGATGTCACTAGTTTTTCTATAGCATTAGCTTGAAAACTCTTTTTAATTAATTTGAGATAATAATTCAATGGAAGAACAAAATAGTTGATTTATTAAAATTATTATCACTGGTTATTTGGTAACTCGTTTCAATGTTCGTAGAGGATCTGTTTTAGATACACTTGACAAAAAATTTATTTCTAGCATTACTTGCTCCGATTAGTGTGCAATTGTTCGGATTCTGTTTCCGTATATTTAGCGCAATCTTATGGTCTTAAAAATCTGTATATTCAATATTAGATAAGTTTCTGATTAATTCCTATTTTACTGTTGAATCTTTGAAAATTTTCATATGATTGAATCGTTCCATTCTTAAAGAAGATTTATTGAATTAGATTGATATGTTTTGTCGAGCACTGTTAAACTCAGTAGAATGATTTGTACTACATGATAGTATCTTGTTCAAAATTTGTAGAACATGAACAACCAGATGCTAATTTACTGTTGATTACTAAAAGGAAATCAATTGAAACAAGTTTATTCATGGTAATCAAAAATTTTATGCAATCTACAAGAACTCCTGAAGATAATTGATAAAATAATCCAATAGAATGATGTGTATCAATTTGATCAGTTACAAAGACGAAAAGATCGTACCAAATATCTGTTTATATATACAGAAGAGTTCTTATGCTAAAAATCATATAACACAATTGTATGATAATGGTTCATCAATCGTTAAAAAGTCAAATTACTATAGAACTTAAATTATTATCTAGATATAAATATTTAAAATGTTGAAGTCATTACATCAAATTATAAAAGAATTTTTGTTTGCGTGTCTTAGTTTGGTTGGCATTGATATAATGGTAACTCACATAGATTTGATTCAAAGGGGAAAAATTGTTATATATATTAAGACTACTAGTGTACTAGCGGAAAAATTAAAATTAACAGAAATAATGTTCAACACTGAAAGAAAAATGATTCGAAGAAACATTTTTTTTCTGCATCTTAATAGATAAATGCTTTTATTGTCAATTATTCCAAGTGAATATAGCATCCTTATAGTATCTAGTAGATTGTCAACGGAATGATGAAAATTAGATGATCTATGATATGACGTAAATTTTCGTGTGCATAGAAAGGGTTGTTTTGACACGTATTCCTTTTCTGAATGGTAATCATAGAAGAATGAGATACGGATGAACTGTGGACACATACGCACATATGTATATGACGGTCGTCCCATATGAACAGAATAGAAAGAAAATTCATTTTTGACGTGGATGGCATTTTTTCGCTTGAAATGAGCATTTATCTCACCGATCGATTTGTTGTCCACTGCTGTCAAACTATAGTCTAAACAAGAATTCAAACTCGATTCGAAATCAGCTTCTTTCATTCGCCGTTAACAGTAGTTGACCGAAGTCAATCAATTGAACAATTCGTCTCATGTTCTGAATGAAAAAAAAACAAGTCTCTTCTCTCTATATAACATCGACATCGAATTACGCGTAGAAACCCAATCGATCATGGAATAATAAGTGAAGCTCTTTTGAAAAAAAACTCGAGAACGAACAGACGATACATCGTTCATTGAGAGGAAAAATACAATTGTCACTTAGAATTCATCAACCAATTACATTGAACTGTGAGGTCATAGAAAAACAAGTCCATTGCAGTGTAGCGTTCAAACTCTAGTGTCCACTGTAATCGATGTTGCCGGTGGCTCGTGAAACTTAGCCCGTAGCATTCGCTTGACTTTGGGCACTTGTTTTCGCACCTTGATGATGCCGTTGGTGGGCGACTTAGTCGACTGCCGTATCAACGTAAACGAGCAACAAAAGTACACGGTTACAATGTACTGCGCAATGATCAACCAAAAGCTAAACTGGTAAAGAGTGCGGTTGCAATACGAATTCTCCTTAGTGCGATCCGTAAACTGCACGCGTTTCACCACGCTGAAAACCCACACATTGCCCACGATAAACCAGGCGAAGAGAAATAGACCGATAAGAAGAGTCAGAACGGAAACAGCACAAATAAAGGCATACTTGAACTTGGTCAAACACAGAATGTAGACGGTAGCGAGCAAATGGATGCACAGAAGCAGGCCGCCAACAGCGCCTTGAACGACAAGAAAAAGAGGAATGTGTGGCTGGATGGAACAGTTATGGATATGAGAAATGCCGAAGATGAGTGACAGGATAGCGATTGAGAAGGGTAGAATGAGCTGGAAGTGAAAGCGCTTTGACTTGAACAACCCTGTTGTTTTCTTTATCACTTTGGCGGGACCAAAAGGAGCAGAGCGAATATGTGGGACATTGGTGGTTGCTACACTTTGGTCGCCCATGACTGTTCACTGGACAGTAAATAAAGCAATGTGTTGGTGGTAAATTTGATCCTTCGACTCGATATAATGCAAGTCAATTCTTTTAAAACTAATGCTGCTTTGATCTAATGGAAAATTCAGTTTGTGTCAACCAGATTTTGATTTTGTCGAAAATATCAGAAGATAGGACGATCACACGTAGAAGACTTGGCAAATCATTTAATGAAAACGCGGTTTTGAATGTCGAAGAACAATTTTACTCAATCAATGAAGTCGTATGATTTGGCTTGCTAGTAAGGGATCCTATGTTTGAAAAGTATAATTTAGAAGAATCCGGCTTTTGTATCAAAGAAAAGATTAATAATGTATTGTAGCGAAGAAAGTTTCAAATTAATGAATACCGAAAAGTTTACTGAAAATAATATGATAAAAAAGAAAAAAAAACAGGATGTGCTTAATATTGGAGAGTTGATGCTAGAGACCTGCAATAGACTCCGAAAACCGACTCCGACTCCGACTTCGACTCCGTCGAAGTCGGAGTTAAAAACAAAAATTTGGTCGGAGTCGGATCGGAGTCAATCTTTTTTTTCGGAGTCGGAGTCGGAGTCAATGTAAATTTAAAGAAACTCCGAAAACTTTGTTTCCTTCTTTTTTATAACTATAACGTCAAGTAAACGAAAACTGTTAAGTTAATAG